CTTTTCCATTTTGGCAGTTAAAAATCTGCCTTCTGCTTACCAGCTCTTGATTTTGTTGTTGTTGCTATATAAGTCAATTAATACCCTCATTAGCTTTCTATCTTGCCCCTAGGAACTCATGGTCTGTGGAACACCACAGATCCCCTACATTTCAAGGATCCCTGACCACTGATTAAATTCACTTTGCTTCCGATGGTTCAGTGCTGCCAACTGCTTTCACTATTCTGGAATTCTATCATATTCACGGACACTCGGGCATCTCCTACTGTCACCTCTGGCCTACACAGGACAGTCACCATTGAGTCTCTCAACTAAGTCAGTGCCCACACACTACTGCAATCTTATGGTGAAAGAATTGTCCTCTGGGCCCTCCCAGGGAAGAGAGTCAGCTGGTAGGTTCTCTGGTCTCACATAATAAATCCATTCTAAAGTCCACCGCTGAGTCTCCCGACCCTTTCCTTAATAATCTGCCAAGGCAGTCCCTATGTTTCCATCTCATTTACTATAGGTTACCATTGTGTCTAAGTTTTAAGATGCCATCCCCACAGGATGTTAGGACTTCACAGGACATTAAATCATTGGCCACTGGGGAGTGTCTCCATATCAATAACCTCTCTCCTACCCAGCTTCACACACTGCTGGTCCAATACTCTCAAGATCCATTACCTTAAGAAATTCGTGGTTCCTGCTGAATATATCATATATATATATATACACACACACATACAGATATATGTGTATATATACATACACACACACACACACACACACATATATATATACCTGTAGTCTTTCTTGTAAATAAATCATTTTCTCCTATAATAGGGGCTGTACTTTCCACTCTGTCTATGCTGAGAACTAACTCTAGTTATTGGTGAAGAAGCAATGAGAGGAGGTGAGGGCTCAAATATCATCTTGTGAGGCAACTGACTACAGTGAGGCCTTGAATGGTCTCCAGGTAATACGAGGCTATTTTCCTCCAGCAAGGGAGAAAGGGCCAGTTCTGTCAGCCCAGAAGGCTCAAGAATCTGGAAGTTCAGGAACCTCAAGGACATCTACCCAAATGTCTCCATCTCAGTCTCAGTCTCTCCTTCCCTTTGAGGACTTGACTTGACCATAGGTAACGTATCGGTCTGTGCAGTCAATCTCTTTGTAGCTCTGCTACCCTTTTGATCAAATTTTGACCTGAATTTATAGCACAGTATGGTCTCTGGTTGCAGAAGGGCCTCTTTTAAGCACTGCTAGGAAGGACTTCTGGTTTTCTCAGCATATTTGGAATTGATAATAACCAGCCAACTCCACAATCTTTAAAATTACAATTGCCCCATATCTTTCAAGTGTTAAAGCTATTGCACAAGCCAGCATTTCCCCTTCCACCTGTACGTCATTCTAATCTACCACAGGTGAGTGATTGTGTTTTAGTTATTGTGATGTTACAGTACACCAGAAGTTTTTACCATTCTTCTTATCACTACCAATTATGTCCTTGTTACCATCTGATCAGTGAGTAAATTGATTTCTAAGTTTTATCTTGAGGGTCTGCTTTCTAGGGTATTTCCAGTACCAACTCTTAATTTAGGTTGCTTCTAAAGCAGACCTTGAGACTAGGACTTGGGTGCAGGTATATTATTTGGGAGGTGATCTCAGGAAGCACAAGTGAGAGACTGGGGAAAGGAGACATGAAAAACAGAAAAGGCAATAAAGTGTCCATCTGGGGACCCTTTAAAAAACTGTGTGAAACATATTTCAGAATTGTGCCACCAAAGGACAGAGAATCTGGGGCATTATCTACTAACACGTGTTCCCTTTCGGTTGAGGGTTGCCCTTGGGAGCATTAACTGCATTGATTCTTGGGCTGAGCAAGCTCCCATGGTGCCAGAGAAGCAGACGGTAGGGGTGCTCAGGGAGGGAAGTTGTCAGCATGATGGAAATAGTCTACCACAGGTACAAAGAAGCTCAGATATGGGCCAAGGGAAAATGGAGCAGGGCATCAATGGTATTGCTTCAAAGTCATAATGGAAGAAGACGACAGTATGATTAAAAGGGCATTGTCTCTGCCCCCTGGCTCCTGACACAGAACTCCTAAATTCCTTGGAATTTCCTGAGTGGTAGGAGTCTTTTTTTCTGATAAGGTGCCACTTGGTGGGCTTCTGGACAGGGGCTGGTCACAGGAAACACCAAGCCATGATTAAAAGCTTGGAACTTTCAGCTCACTCCCCATCCTCCAAGAAGGGCAGAGGGGCTGGAGACAGATAATGATGAATCATGCCTATATACTGAAGCCTCCATAAAAATTCCAAAAGTATAGGGTTCAGAGAGCTTCCAGGCTGGTGAACAGATCCATATGTCAGGAATGCCACACTCCAACTCCATGGAAACAGAAGTTCCTGTGATTGGGACCCTTCTGTACCTTACGCTATGAATCTCTTCATCTTGCTGTTCATCTGTATTCTTTATATAATAAACTGGTAAATATAAGTATTTCTCTGAGTTCTATAAACTATTCTAGTAAACGACTGAACCCAAGGAGGGAGTCCATGAGAACCTCTGATTTATAGCTGGTAGGTCAGAAGCATAGGTGACAACTGGGGACTTGTGACCGGCATCTGAGGTGGTTGGAATCCAGGGCCAATAGGAAGACTGATCCTGGGATAAGATCAGGACAGTGGGAAAGTGAACTCACATGGGAAAGTAGTAAGACTGTCTGGCAGCTTTGAATGTCATTTGAGATAAAGGGTCATTATTTGGAATTCTTAATGAGTTCTTAATGAATAGCACTTAACTTTAATGAAAATTTCTCTTTTGTGTAAGTGGATCTTTTCTCTTATATTTTAAATTATACAAATAACGTGTTATTTGATACCACAAAAATATATGTAACATACCTATAAGTTATAAAGCATAATACTTAAATGCACATCCACTCTATCTGAATTAGAACTTTGCCAATAATTTACATTTACCTTTGTTCTTCCTAATCCCATCTCCCTGACCACTCCCCTCCCCCACCAATCCATATCATTTTTATTTTTTTTTTTTGCCTCACCACACTGTGAGGCTTGTGAGACTCTAGTTCCCCGACCAGGGTTGAACCTGGGCCCTCCGCAGTGAGAGCATGGAGACCTAATCACTGGACCACCAGGGAATTCCCCCATCCTGAATTTCATGCTTACCAGTCTCTTACCTTAAAATCACATATGAATTTTTTTGCCTGAATTTTTTTTAGTTTTCTTTGTATCTGAACTTTACAAAATGGTATCTGAGACTTAGCTTTTTTATTTTTATTTTTTGCTTGGCTTTTAAAAATTAACCATTATATTTCCAAAGTACATCCATGTTATTATGTATGTTCATTCATTTACTCTGCTTAATTGTGCGGTTATATTGTAATTTAGTTATCCATTTTCCTATATAAAACATTTGGGTTGTTTCCAAATTTTTGCTATTATTAACAGTGCTGCTGTGAATATTCTTTTATAATTTCCTGGTACACATATGCAAGAGTTTCCCAAATGTATATAGTTAGGAGTGGAAATTGCTGGATCATAAGGTGTGTATGTTGACCTTTACAAGATTTTGCCATATTGCTTTTCTAAGTGGTTATACCAATTTACACTCACAGCAATAATGTTTAAGAGTTCCTACTGACACACATATTCTCCAGAATTTGGTACGGCCAGACTTCTTAATTTTGTCAATTTACTGAATGAAAAACAGTATCTCATTGTAGTCTTTTTTGTATTTCTCAGATTAATAATGAGACAGAACATCTTTTCATATGCTTATTGGTCATGGCACTTCCTCCTCCTCATTGGTATTTCTTATCTAACTTTTCAGTCAACCACCATAATTTCTGCCATCTACATTTCCTCATGAAAGACACATTACTTTCAATGATTACAGATTATTTTACATTTGGCATATTTATATAGCTAATATCTTCCCTTTTAGAGCGTTTAGGACATACTGATAAAGTCTTATCAGTAATGCATTTATAAGACACCTATTAGTTGGGTGGGTTTTGGATAATTTTCACATTTGGCTAATCTTATCCTCATCAGATTAAGAGTCCCGGTTGTTTCTGAGAATGTATCCTCATCATTAGTTTAGACCTTCATCCTTACAAGTTGTAGCTCCTCTACTTGAGTTGGTGAAATCTGGAAGGCGGGATCGTATCCTACTCATCTTTAAACCAGTATTCCAATTACAGTGACAGGCATATCACGTGTATTTAATGCATTTTCGTATGATTTTTCACCTCATGACTCTCCTGAAAAGTATGGTCCACACACTTAGTTTACCGCTGGCCCCAGCCCTCGGCGCCCAGCGGGTTTTCCCTGCCCACCTCTGCCACTTGAGGGAGTGAGACAAGCACCGTAGGTCGCTTACCTATACTTGGGCAGCAACGGGCTCCCTTCTTTTTCCCTTGTTTCACAAAACCAGGTGTGTGTGGGGTGGGGGGCGCAGTCGAAGAGAGTGCGGGGAAGTCGACTATAAACTCTCCGTACTTCTCGGGTCTGTCCGTTGGCAAGCCCTTCTGGACCAGTCAACATTTACTTTCCTCATATCGTATAAAAAGAGAAGTACCCTCATCTACAAGAAAGGTCCAAAATTCATGGTCATGACCTGTGCACGTTTTTTTATAGAGCAAACTGTAAAAACACACCGACGCCCAAACACTAACACACAGACGAAAACACACCCACGTGCTATGGTCTTCTCCCGCGACTCAAGGCCTTTGAAACTGAACAGAGGAAAACTGTCTTAGCATTTGGTCTCCCACTTTCGACAATATCTATTCGGCAAAAATAAAACCTAAACAAAATGTTTTAAAGGTAGCACTTAAAAAAATGATACACTCTTTCTGCTTACGTGTCTTCCTTTCTTTCGGCTTTTGTGGGGGTTTACTTTAAGTCTCCAGACTGATCCTGCCCATCCGCACTGATGTAGAAACTGCGAACAGTTCGACGCAGCTGCCGGGGAGGCGAGGCGGAGGTTATGACGTCATCGCCGCGGGGCGGAGGCGACAGTGTCTGAGGAGAGGCTGAGCGTGTTGCGACGCCGGCAGCCCTTCTCTGAAGCAGCGCAAGTCACGGCCAGCGCCCGCTCCTCCCTGGTGGTCGGGCCACGTCGAGTCCTGCGTGGAGATGGCAGACGATCTTGGAGACGAGTGGTGGAAGACCCAGCCGGCAGGAGCAGCCAGCAGCCCAGGTACCGACTCTGCCCGCGCTCCTGCGGGTCCTCCCCCACCCCACAGCCTTCCGTGCGCCTCAGCCCGGGCCGGCGCTGCCTCTGGCCGTCGCCGCTCTCTGCCTCGCGGTAGTGCACACCGCCGTGGGGTGCACGCGAGCGTCGCGGAGCAAGTGAAGCAAGAGATATACTAACACGTGAAACAGACAAGTGTGACAGTAACTCATACCTGCCCTCTAGTCAGGAAGGACCCTTTTCCAAGCTGTTTTTTGTTTGTCCTTATTTCTTAACAGATAAGACAGTTTTCGCGGAGACAGGGAGTTTGGGCTTAGCGGTTAAGGGTTAACTCCTGGGTTAGGTTCAGACTGCTTCTGTTCAACTCGCGACTCCAGCCTTTTAATACTGTTTAGCCTCCTTTTCCTCATCTGTAAAATAAGCGTAATAATGCCAATTTCATAAGATTGTCGTGAAGATAATACAAATGGTGCACTTTAGCACAGTGCTTGGTACATAATATGTGAGCAGTAAATAAAAGCTTTAGTTTTTCTTGCTATCGTTAGCAGCAGCAGCAGCAGCATATCATCATCATATCGTTTGGACTTTTAGAGCCTGAAGGAGACTTGGAGATCCGCTTGGATTCACCCATTTGACAGATGAGGAACATGAAACCTAAAGATATCAAATAACATGACAAGTTCACATAGCTAGTTGGTGTCAGAAACGAGAGTAGAATTCAGTTAACACAGTTCAGACAATGTTTATTATGCTACGTGTACCTACTGCCAATGCAGTGAATATTTTATCCTTGAGTAGATAGTGTTAAATAACTCCTCACCACAGGCTGGCCTTGAACTTTTCAAGTCTCATGGCTTAATATACAATTGTTTTTTTAAAATCATTCTTCAGAGTCTGCCTCTCTTCTTTACTAGATTCTAAGATTTTTTTATGGTAAAACCAAAGCCTGACTGTAGAGTCCACAGGACCCTGCACATGATTGACAGTTGATACATATTTGCTGCAATCATTAGTATTGAAATGTGAGTTGAGAAATAGCCATTGAAAACAACGAACATTGTTTCAATGCTGTACTACAGCATTGTTTCCAGAAGGGCAGGCTTCAGATACAAACAGAGCAGATGGCATTTTTCAAAAGGTTGCCAGTATAATACTTCATTGATTAAACTTCTGACTCTTTTGAGGCTTTGTTTTTAGCAAATGTATGCTTGTGCTTGAAGGCACAAATACCTTTTTTTGCAGGCTGTGGTATTTCACGTTTCCTTTAATAGCCCCTGCCCCCCATAACTGAGGTGTTAAAAACTATATTTTATGGTATGATTCAAGGATAAATGCCAATTAAGAAACAGTCAAAAATTTTTGGAGTGGTGAAGGGGATCTTAATTCTTGGTTCTAGTCCTGTTTCTTGCCCTCACCAGCTATGTGTCTCTCAAGTTAGTCACCCTTTGGAAACAAAGAAATTAACATGTATTGAGTATCTACTATGTGCCAGACGTTTTCATAAATATGAATTCATTTAATCTTCATAACATTCTTAAAGGGTAAGCGTTTTAATTTAATCTTCATAACATGCCTAAAAGGTAAGCATTACCTTCATATTTAAATGAGAAGCAGAAAAGTTAATTGTTCTTAGGAACACACAGCAAGGGAGAGATCTGAGAAGAGGTTAGTCAAGAGCACCTGACTTTCAAAGTCACACTTTTCCCACTATTACTGTGTGGCTTCTCTGGTCCTCAGTGTCATAGTCTGTGAAGTGAGGGATCCTTAGAGATCATCTTTTTAAGGGTTTTACCAACCAAGAGGTTTAAATGTTGAATCTAGTTAGAACTATAAAGTGCTACAGCCTCTTTCATCTAAGTTGCCAGGATTCCCATCAAGATACGTTGGAGTCCCTAGGATCACCCCACTTCTTAGGTTCCTTCTAGCTGTAAGATTGAGGTTTGAAAATTGCTAACATTAAATTTATCAATGGCCTTTGCTTTGTTAACTGCTTTGAAGATAGGTGAGTGTATAAGCTTCCTTGAGATCTGCTTGATTGATTATTTACCAGTGATTTGTTTAAATAATCTGAATAATGTTTCTAATTCAGAAGAAATCACAGCTGCACCAATTCAGGTTTTCTGATCCTACCTATGTTAATAGAGAAAGATCAGCCTAAAATATGTGAATTATATACTGTTTTGAAAGTCAGAGGAGAAATAGTGCCTTAAGTCAGAGAAAGGAAAGATAGTTGTAGTAATGCCTTTACTCCTGTCGTGTGTTACGCTACTTGCCTATAAAAGTAAACATCTTTCCTTATTACCTGTTTCCAGTTAGTGCTTATGGTGGTGAGGTGATGGAGCATTTAGTCATTTATTCAGCAGTCTATATCTATCTACAACAAAGGCTTAACATCTGTGGTTATGAATTCTTGTGCACGTTTTCTAAGAGTAAACTGTACAAACACACAGATGCCCAAACACCGACACACACTGTGTATGATATTTATCCAGCTCTCTATCTATTGTCAAGGAATTGAACTATGTTTTTGCGGTTTTCATGACTTCTTAGATGAGGTATGTAACTCTGAGACCCTTACTAAAGCTCTTGATCTACATATGACCCTTTTTGCATATATCTTATGGCTTTTCAAAACCTGTCGTTTTTCTACAGGCATTCCTTATTTTATTGCACTTCACTTTATTGTGCTTCACAGATACTGCATTTTTTTTTAAACAAGTAAAGGTTTGTCATGACTCTGCATTGGCTAGCATTTTTTAGCAATAAATTATTTTTTAAGTAAGGTATGTACTCTTTTTATATGTAATGCTATTGCACAATTAATAGAGTACAGTATAGTGAAACATAACTTTTATATGCACTGGGAAACCAAAAAATTCATGACTTGCTTTATTGTGATACTCACTTTATTGTGTCTGGAACCGAACCTAAGTATCTCCGAGGTATGCCTGTATTAGAATCCTGCGTTGTACTGGAGTCCAACATGGTACCTGGCACTTAGTTGGTGTTTGGTAGATATTAACTGAATTAGTGAATGCATTTTACAGGACTTTTGGTGATCGTATACACAGGTAGATATATAATTTCTCATCCAGTCTAGACACTTTTGAGAGAGGAAGGCCATGCTCTTAGAATTTTGCTGGGGCAGTCCGCTTGAGATGTCTGGTCACCCTGTTGGTGTCATCATTGGTGGTGATTGGAGTCATGGCCCAGGGTAAGACAACTGAGAATTTCCTCTGCTGAGGTGTGTACAGCACAGTATGCCTCAGGCAACAGAGCCTAGGAATCATCTAATGGTATCTAATATTTCGTTTCACTTCATTTCACTTATTTCCTTATTCCCTGCCTACCTTAAGAAATTATTTGATAATAATATATAATACTGCATGTATGGTAGTAAACAATGCATGCAGTAGAATCATAATTGCAAAGCATTAGTGCTAATGCACCAGGTGCAATGCCTGAGATTTCATGTAGTTGACCAAACTGGGCACTTTCTCAGTGTGAAGCTGAATGTTTATTCACGTCATGGTTTTCGTGACTTATGGAGCAGAGCCGAGAGTTTCTGCTGTTGGAAGTGGTCAGTTGGTCATTCACTTACTAAAGAGAACACCGATTGTTTTCCCTTTTTATTCCAATAATATGCCTATTAAATTACCAAGTCAAGTGTCCAGTAGGCAGCTGGGTATAGAGTCTGGAGCTCCAGGGTTGGAGCTGGAGATAACGAATTTAGGAATTACCGGCACATATATAGCTTACTTTTTTATATATAAATTTATTTATTTTATTTATTTATTTTTGGCTGCGTTGGGTCTTCGTTGCTGCACATGGGCTTTCTCTAGTTGCGGTGAGTAGGGGCTACTCTTCATTGCTGTGCGCAGGCTTCTCATTGTGGTGGCTTCTCTTGCTGTGGAGCACGGGCTCCAGGCGCGTGGGCTTCAGTAGTTGTGGCTTGCGGGCTCTAGAGCACAGGCTCAGTAGTTGTGGTGCATGGGCTTAGTTGCTCCACGGCATGTGGGATCTTCCCGTGTCCCCTGCATTGGCAGATGGATTCTTAAACGCTGTGCCACCAGGGAAGTCCCTATAGCTTACTTTTAAATAGGATGTTTTTAGCAATCTGCAAAACTCTTTGCCTCCACTTCTTTTGAGGAGGGTTTTTCATATGCTCCCCTAGCTTATTCTGAATCTTTGATGCCATCTCTTACCAAGAATCTAACTAGAAAACTGAAGTGTGAAGACACTTCTGTGTGCAGTGCCTGGAAATTGCAGGTAACAATACTAATTTGCATTTGTTAAGTGGTCACTCTGTGCCAGATACTTTTTTGATTGCTTTACATGTACTGGTTCATTTAATCTTTATAAGTATACCATGATGTAGGTACAGTTATCTCCATTTTTTAGATGAGGAAATTGAGGCACCAAGTGGTTTAGTGATTTGCCCAGTGTTATTCAGTTGGTAAGTAGAGAGGCTGAGATTCATAGACAGGCAGTCAGAAACCAGTCTGTGTACTTAAATTTCTCAAAGTTAATTATTCTAATTATCAATGATAAGCATCTCATCTCTAAAATAATAATCCTTTATCAGTTTAAAGAGGCTCATACTTTATAAACCTTTTGTTTAGATACATCATTGTTATCAAATTGTCTATTAACTCTTAGTCTCCCAAAGTGTACTCTTCTAAAGAACGCTGATTACTCTGAGATACAAATAAGAAGGTTGTACCATTGGACTTTGAGAACAATCTCTTCCCAGGAACTCATACTTGGTCCTAGAGCTCAAGGCTCACATACCTGGCTGTCTTCTTGATGTCTATACTTATTTGATGAGAATGTCAAATGTAAATGAGGCCCAACTCCTGAATTTTTCCCCAAATCTGCTTTTTCTCCAGACTTCCCTATCTCAGTAAATTAAATCACCAACTGCCCAATTTCACAAAGGCCTAGGCATGTTCTGATTTATTCATTTATTTAGTTCCTTCACCCTTTACATCTGATCTATCAAGTTT